TAGATCAGTATGTCCATGTTATGACATGTCATAAATGTGAAATATTACTTTTTCTAATAAAAAAACACACAAACAACCCACAAATATATTTTTTCATGTTTCCTATCGACTGAGTCTCTGCAGTGACACAGTTTTAACAGTTTTGTGTTGAAATTCAACATAACAGTTTCAGTTGCATTGCCGGCACTAACAAGCCAATCATGATCAGTGTTCTAAATATTGATAACAAATCATATGATCAGTCACATGGCTTTACTGACCTGATGAACTAACAATTCAGCAACTTCCACATGGTTGTTGAGTGCGGCCAGATGTAAAGCTGTGTAGCCATCATCTTTCTTCTCATCCACGATCCAAGGGCGTGGCAGGTGAGCCAGCAGGATACGCATAGCACTGTCAATGTAAAATATCAGAAATCCAAACGTTTATTATTACCGTAGTGTACGTACTAATCAAATAATTATGGTCATTAGAAAATAATCACAAAGCCAATTTAAAAATGTTTTTCAAAATATACTCAAAATTTTAAATATTCAAAATGTATGCAAATTTCATTATGTACTCGAAGCCACAAAGTAAAAAAGATTAGAACTACCATGCTAATTTGTTATCAAATGCTGGCTATATTTTGTCAGTTTATTGAAATAAATATTTCACTCTATCACAAAATCATTGGAAATCAGAACATGACAAGTTTTTTAATCATGTTGAATTGTGGGAAGGGCTAACAGTGTTTATAAACAAATTCATAAATATACAGTTAACACATTTAATAATTTTCACATGAATCCTATTATCATGATTATTGTAAAATCTGCTGAAATAAATTCATGTGAACATTGCAAAATAACTTGTAGTTTCACCTGAAAATCTGTGATTTAAATCCCACAGAATATGTTCTCAAATATTGAAATAAATATTAGACTATATACATACAAATGCCATATGGACAAAAAAACAATGAACAAAACAATGCACGTTCTCACTGTAATGCACCATTCTAGGATTCAAGCATGCCAGATTCATACTCCATGACAAACCATTCACTGCAGCATATCCACGCACTCACAGACAGATTACAGAACATCATTTCAGATACTCAGACCAACACATGGCATATAATAAACTGGTATACATTCATTTGCAACATGTTTCATACAGACAGCAGAGTAAAACACCTTCATGTATTCTAGTCACAACCTTTACATGTGCTCATGTTGCAGTAGCTTTTATATAAAATCACGCCATTTTCACGTAACTATCACATGATATATTGCTAAGTAGTAGCAACAACGTTTTAAATTAAGTAATTTATGATGTCACTACAAAGAAAGAAGTAGGGAGAAAAGCTGGGTATAAAACACAGAAGATCTTCTCAGAGGTGAGAGTAATGATTGTCTTTCATGGAGATGGTTTTGTAAAGGTATTTTATCAGAAAATACACTTTGCCAAATGAAAGGTCATTTTGCAGCCACTTACATGTACATAACTGAAACATTGATTTTGTTTCAGGGTTGTTGGGAGGCAATTTACTCATTGGGTAGATCGTTAACTACACACATGGGAGAATTCAACAATGCAGTACTTGGAACATAAATAATTAAACTATACATGTATACCATGTACTAGTTGAAACGCAGCTTCAATTTTAATAATTTTTTTCAAAAGAATTATACATATAACTGTGACATTTAAAATCATTGTGCAATACTTTTATTAACTCTTCAAACGGCAAATCAATTTCCATAATAAACATGCATATTAACTTTTCCGACGAGAAGGCAAGGTAAAATTATGTCCATTCAATCTGAAAAATGGAATGAAAATACATGAAAAATGTGCATCAACATTTATTTTGAAGTGAACAATTCGTACATTCAGAGAGTTAAATTCTTGTGCCGCAGCAGCGCCTATCACAGCACTGTGATGGAAATAATAGTTCCAATCCTAAATAAAAAATAAAACTGTCATTTCAAACCATGTGTTAACCAGAAACCTGTCTACATCGAAAACACAAAGTCCCCTCTTCAGACACATGACTATATATATATACCAAACACTTGGTAAATGTGATAAGACTCTTAAAATTTCACTACCTGCTAACAAAATGTTTGTCATATGAAACAAAATAGCATACAAAATATTAAATACATTTTGTGATGTACATGTATGCTGGTTTTTTTATTACTTTCAAAGAATAAATCAGCAAAAATATAGAAATAGGGAATTCATTTCCTCTTTGTACATTTGCATGCTGCTCATGTACCTCAAAAAACATTTACCCACAATGCTTCACATTCCCCACAATATATTTTTATAGGAAATGACTCAAAGTAAGGCAGAAGCCCAACTGTACACAGAGTCATGGATAATTGATTCATGAAGGCATCACATATTTTATATCATGCAATATAATCAAACCCACATGATGCATCTAAAGACTGTAATCTCCACAAAATAAAAACTAAATAGGTGCCAGTAATCTAATTTGAATATAATTACCGTTATGACAAATCTGTGGAAATGTAGGTGGATGGAAAATAGAATTAGTGGGTGCCCCACCCACTCAAAATCCCTCATGAAAAATACACATATAATCAATATACTGGAGAATAAATGAAAAAAGTAAGTTTTTCTGATAGTATCGTAACTGAGAAATCATTAATTGCAATATTTTTATATTGAGTGGTTGGAAATAAACGTGAACAGAAATTATTTCAAATCAATGAACTCTCCCTGCTAAATACTTGACCTATTCAATAATCTGTGGGTGTTATCACATAGGGCTTAAAACAGGTTTCATGTTTGTCAGCATCATTTATTCTATGTTTTTGTCATATTACCTCAAACCCTGCAAATAGAAGTGTGCATGGAATAATGGGAACATGAATAAACAATTCATGTAAAATATGTTTTTGTTCACACAAAATTTCAACGTGATGTCCCCTCTGTGACGCTTTAAGTTACAGTAACTTCTTTTCTGATGACTTTTTCCACAGATTATTGTCATTTACTACTAATTCATTGTTTTCACATGACAGGGGTTAAAAGCACACTTTGGAGAAAAGCCTACGAGACACTTTTTTCAAAAGAATATTACCTAACTATACGTTTTTACATTAATAAAATGAATATGGAGATCAACTCTTCAGATATTAATCAATGATTAATAGACCATGTTTCAATTCAAAATGGTTGCCATGAGAACAGTAATATTGAAAGTAAATGCAAAAATGTAAGTTGCTAAAAGAAACTTACATAAGAAGACTCATTCTAATGCTTGGACAAATCAAAAATCTCCAAGGGTTCCTGCAATTTCTATTTGCTTGTGTCACTAAAGAATCTACAAAGAAAACCCATTTGCTTTAACTTTTTGAGCACTCAAATGTTTCCCATTTTTGCACATTATTGAAATTATTCTATATATTATTTTTTAATTGCAGACCAGATAGACATAATGTCCTATTTGCTACAGATTATAATCTGATTTTGAGAAAAAAAAAAAAATATGGAGAAAATAACAAGGTTCATTTTTTGAGACAAATGTTGAAACAAAAGCAATCTTGATTAGTGGACAAGAAAGGTATCAATAATCTGAAATTCTATTTTGTTACAATGAATGTCAATAGTTGACCAAATTGAATTTATAATGTGCAAGAACAAGGAACATCTAATTGTCATTTGAGAATTTGTTTTTGCCACAAGTACTATAAATAAGACACTGGTTAGGGTATGACACTATTTTTTAACACGGCATAGTCATGTGACATGTATATTCAATAACAAACATTTTAACATTTTGTAAGACAGCTTTTGCTGACATGATTTCGACTTCAAGTCCAGACAAAAGCAGATTAAGCACAATCAAACATTTCTTTCATTTCATGAACTGTATTGTGCGCAAAACATAATAAGTTGTTATCGAACGTGTCTCTTGGGACCCTGATGACATGTCTGGAAGGTTAGACAATGATTGAAATGGTGAAACTCGATTGCTCACAAGAACAATGCATCGACTCGTCTCTTTTCATCATTACATTTAGTCTACGATGGCTGTACATAGCTCCAATATTCATACCAGGCCTCCGAGGGCTTGTACCGTGGGATCTCCATTACTACATTTCTACAATACTTATACCTTCCATCTTTTTCATTTGTACAGATCTTTCATTCCTAATGGCTCTTTGAATCTATTTCTTCCATTGCAAGATTCTTTTGAATATATATCCACCAATGTCAATGTAATACGCCACTTTTCTGTTAACACAACAAATATCAAATATTAACTCATTAGTACCTAAATCCGCAAACAAGTCACATGACAAAGTGACACATCCTACCCGATAACTCAAAATAATTAACAGTAGCCATTAGGAAATAATTCATCTATTAACAGATTAAAATCACTGATTCTGGTAATATTTTTGTAATTATTTATTTATTCATTTATGCACTTATTTATTTACCGTAATACTCAGAACCCAATGAAAGATCTAGAAGCAGCATCTCTGACATGAAAAAAAATGAACCATTATTTCACAGAAAATTTGATGTGCTTGGTGATGGGTTCATTTAATGTGCACCGAGTACAGAAACAACACACAGCACAGACAGTTTTTATCATCCTTATCTGATAGGACATCATTACAGCAAATCTATTACCGTAAAATCTGTATTAGAAGCCTCATCCCGAATAGAAGTCGCACCCATTTTTTTTGAACAATTGAGAACCAAAAATTCATCATTTCTCATATGTGTAGATGCTGTAATAGAAGCCGCCTCCCCTCGGTTGCATTGTACCATTTTAATAGAAGCCTCTAATACAGATTTTACTGTACCATGTGTTTGGAAGTCTTACCAGAATGTAGGACCATAGTGAACACAACATGAGGCAAAAAAAAAGAAGAAAAAAATGTCATCTGACAAATCACAGTTGACCTTAGCATATGAAGTATATCATGTATTGTAACATGAAGCATGGGAAAATGTACATGAAATATTTACAGTGTCCCATAATTAGGCCATTTAATGTACAATGAACTTCAATCAACAGTTATCCACTCTTTATAGTTAGTACTTTGTTAAATAAGTCAATGATCTTAAAACTAATAACGTAAAGTTTAACTTTGTGTTAGGGAGGTTGTGGATTTGATTCAATCTGCCCCAAACTAACAATGTGATACTGAGGTGTTAGGGAGGTTGTGGATTTGATTCAATCTGCCCCAAACCAACAATGTGGTACTGGTATATGGACAAAAATAGTTACATGTGATAGACATGCTACAGAGGGAGAAATATTCAGTGTTCAATTTTTGCAGATTTGACAATTACAAAGATATTCACTATCTTTCCTGTAAAAAAAACAACATAAGTATTCTACAGTAAACTTTGCATATTCACTGGGTTTTTATTTACCACATTTTACGGTAGCTATAAGCAAAATAAGAGAGAAAAAAAACTACTAATTAAAAATAATATATTATGATATCAGTTTATCGCTACTCTATAATATGAGATGTATTAAATTCATGTATTAATTTTCATTTGTTTATTGACAACTACTGTAAAATCTGTATTAGAAGTCGTGGCTTCTATTAAAATGGTACAATGCAACCAAGGGGATGCGGCTTCTATTAGAGTATCTACACATATGAGAAATGGTGAATTTTTGGTTCTCAATTGTACAAAAAGAAACGGTGGGACTTCTATTAGGGATGCGGCTTCTAATACAGATTTTATTATATTCAGACCGAATAAAAAAGACCTCACTTATTAGATAACCTCAATGTTTCACACATTGATATTTTTGTATTGTTTATATATAGTAGACTGAGTATAGTTTAAAATCAGATTTTTTTTCTTTTACTAGTATCAAACAAGAATATTTCCATTAATACTAAAGGTTGTTCATGTTATCAATAAAAGTAATCTAAATTATGTACCATTTTAAAGAACACCACAAAATTAAGTATTAGGCATTTTTTCCCTCCTATCTTTTTGCTTTCATCCCACAGCTAAATTTGAAGAAATGTCAGCATCATTTAACCTTCTGAATACCTATACATATACATAGTCAATATTTATTTTTCATATTTCTACACAATTTTGATCAAAACTTATAGCCAATGAGAAATTACCTCCATTTGGTCCAAAATAAGCAAATAAGTTGTAACAAATTTTATAAAAATTTGAAAAATGTTGCACCAACTATAGTTTGAAAAAATTGGCATTCAAAATGGTCACCCCATTCATCCAGTTAGTACAGAGCACATGGTTGAAAAAGTGACTCCTATTCCTTGTCCCACCTGGAAGTAATTAAAATAAAGCTACTTATGAAATAAATACAATGACACTCCTTGAGAAGATTTAGCAGTTGTTGCTAATAAAAAAAATTTAATAGCAGACCTCCTAAGGTCAAAGATATCATATCTTTGTGCAATGTGATGTATGAATTGCAAACTACAAAGAGAATATTAATCAGTAACCTTCCCCCCTTCCCCTTTTCACAAATCCTATATGGCAGGACATTGAAATGTTAAAAATGTTCTTAATACTCACATGTCATTCAAACTGCAAGATCTTAACATAGAGGGCATCATTTTTTACCACTACAGCACAACAGGGAAAAAAAAGATTCTGAAATAAGCCTTAAAACTAACCTTAAAAACAAAAGCTGCTCTACTATTGGCTAACATTTCTGACACTCGCATACTAATTTCAGTAAATATTTATGATTTTTACTGACCTCTCTGCAGCTTAAAAACCCATTCAGTTTTTCCCCTGCACGACAAAACCATTCATTGAAAGGTACACATTCTGCTATTCCTATTGAGAGCATCATAGAAGCAGAATTTTTCGAGGACAAGAACGAACATCCAAAGCTGCCCACACATAGCCAGCAGTATTACGCCCACGCAAGCTGTCAACCTTTTCACCCCTTATGACTAAAATGGAATAGTCCAAATTCTCATGCAAAAGAGGCACTGATAGTTCCTGTGTGAATGTGATGCACAATAGGAATGCAGACTAAAAATAGAAACCAATCAAAGGACTGCCTTCCCTTTATGGTTTGGTCTATTTTTAGCTGGGTCGAGCTGCTATTTTGGTGTTCATCAATGGTAGAAGCTTGCGGACAGCAAATACAGAGCTTTTTTTTTATATATGCATGCTGTGTCTAAATATGGCGAGAAAACATACCTGAAGATGCTTCACTCTTAGCCTCCTCCTCCCATAGACATTTTTCAAATGCTTGACTGGCAGTGTATATGTAAGTAAAACAGTATGTAGAATATCGTGGAAATAAATGGGTTTTACTTAGAAGTGGCAACCATGTGACATGTGTGTGGGCAGAGTGTGTATAATTCAACAGAAGAATAGTGGCTCCACATCTCAAATTACTTAGCGGCTAGCTTGCTTTTCGCTTCTTTTTTTTAAATCACTACTGGCTGCTGCACTGTAAGTCCAATGCTTGTTATTTATTATTTATGAATCTGTATCATTTTAAGCTACAGAAACATCTTCAATGAAACCAACTTGAAGGTGACCTCTGTAGTAAATTCTTCAAATTGTTTTTCTTCATGTTTTTATCCCAGGGATATGCAGGTAAGTAGGGAGGGAGTTTAGTGTATATTTTATGAGTTTACATATGTTTGAGTTTTGTTTGCCTCAAGGCCTCCTCATGGCTCACCCCTGTGGAGTTTGCAGCATTAAAGGACACAGAAGCTGAAGTGCAATCTGACACAGTGGATCGTTGCCTAGACTGACTGCTGACGTGAATGGTCTGAATACCAACTATGCAAGGAATTTTAACAGACCTCAGCATTCACTCCTTTTTCGGGCTGATCAGCTGTGTAAGACAGACTCCTGGCATGCTGGTTTTTTTTCCCCCTAATCTGCATATGCCAACCAGGGTATTTCCATCACTGGCCAACTCCCCAATACATCATTCATCATACCTCTGACTAAGCCACAACTTGTCAGTCAGGTTTTTTGTTACTCCAGCCATCAGCTGATACAGTGATTTCACTTTCGAGAGCCTACAGCCATTTTACTCTGTTTATTTTCCAGATTTCTTCTCTGGCCACCCTCCATCTCTGCATCTTTGCGTCCTAGGCTACACTACTGTACTAACACTGAGAGAACAATGGTAAGTACTGGTTCATTCATCCCCATTTTCAATAGCTTTTTTTCTCCCATCGTCCCTACTTTACAAACTTCTAAAATTCACACTCTCTAACAAAATTGCCTTCCATCTTTGGAGAGTTTATTGAACCACATGCACAAAGGAACAGTGATTAATTTCACATACCATGTTGTGTGGTGAACCCTTCAATACTTAGAGTTTTAAGAGCAGAACAGGGATTCCTTGATCAGCTGGGGCATAGACTGTTCTAATAGCCCAAACTGAGACAGCATAGATGGCCTAAATCACATACTTATTCATTTACAAATTAGAAATAAATGCATTCCTGGACAATGAAATCAATTCTGTGAATAAAAAATATAATTCACCACGACAAAGATTCAAGCCTGGTCATGATTCCAAAATAATCAGGTAATGACTGCCATGTATTGTATTATCTAATTATTTTTTGGAAGCAAAACTAATTAATTATTTTTTTAACATAATTCTTTGAATTTGCTGGTATAAGACTGGTGGTTGTTTCACAATACCACCACAAATAAACACTATATAATTTGCCATTTTAAAATATTTTTCAAATGTCAAATGGCAATTGGGATTGCAATATGGTAGATACACATGTTTAAGTCTATGCTTAGTGAAGTATGTCTATAAGCCCTGAAGGGAGACCACACTGATTCCTTCACATGGTGAGAACAAGAACTGTAATTTACCTAGTAAAAATTTGTCAAAGTAGTGTCCAATCATACTGACTATAGTCTAGGGCATAGGCTTTCTATTCATGTCACTGTACAAATTTATCAATTAAAAAAACTCTTTAAAAAGGTCAAGTGAGACCATTGGATTCAAAGTGCTGGTAATTTCCGGCTGTAAAGAATGTTGTTGTTGGTCGTTTTATTTTAGGGGTATTATTTGAAATGATGTAATCAATGGTTGTAATTTCTGATGAAACCAAGTCCAGTATACTTGCCTATCTCGTGTACACACAGCTGTTAAGAACTGGGGCATTCTTATCAAGTGCCTTTGCCCATACATAGATTCTTTTTTTGTAAGCTTGGTATGTAGACTATGCCAATCCAGCTGGTTCAACTATTCTTATAAAAGGGCATGGTCTGTAACATAGAGGAAGGAGATGTTTCAAATAGAATCATTCCGGAAAATGTAGACTCAAACGCTGTTTTTTTCCCATCAGAATTAGATGCATCCTTCCGACAACCACCCACAAAAACAGAAAAACAGACAGTTGTTTAATGACACTGTGTTTAATGACACTATCATAAACACATGTCATGTCATTTCTATATGTTAACAATTTCCAATTAATTTTCAGAAAGAGTTCCTTAAGGCCCCCCTATCCCTAACCTGAACCCCAACACTTGTAGTTAGATAATATACCTCCAGTTAACTATACGTGTCCTGAAGAGAGGAGTATACAATTAAAAGGTGAACTCAATTAAAATGGGGGGACCAGCAATAGAGAGTTGGAATTAATGGTTGAGTGAGCCCTAAGTAATTTAAATCTAATTTTCCAGTTGAATTGTCATAACATTCAAGTTCACAGTATACATATAGCAGAAAACAATTAATACAGTATATGCATAACTGGAAATCAGACTTACACTGATCCAACCCTTTCAGTGAAGAACAGTATTTTTTTTGGGGGGGGGGTCTTGTAATTGGTTCATGAAATTAAGAGATGAACAAATGAAGAGAAAATTAAAAACTAGGAATCAACATTTCTACTGTCGAGAGTAGATAATTTCCCTTAGCATTGAGAGGTGACTAAATCATGATAATCACAAACTAATGGCAACCATGGAGGCAGCCATCTTGAATAAGCTGCTAATACTGAGTACATTAAAGTGTATGCTAAAGCATGATATTAATGTCATATTCATATTTCAGTCATGTGACCACAACAACGTTGGGTGTAAAACGAATAATTAAGCAGGAATTAAAACCAAAAGGTTAAAAATGAAAAATAAATCTATGAAATCTCTTTAATCCTTTGAGGGACAAAATCAACATTTGTTATCTTCCAGAAAATAAAACTGTAATTTTTTTTTTTTTCCAAAAGTTTTTCACCAATCCTTGTAGCCAATGAGAAATTATGTAAGTTTTGGTCAAAATCAACAAAAATTATTTGCAAAATGTTACATCAGAATGTCAGTGAGAGAAATGAAGGCCCCAAAAAAGTTAAAATATGATCGAACCACTGGATAAAGTTAAAATGACCTCAATATTAATAGGTTAAAGTTCATTCACACTTCAGTGCAACAGAAATATTCCACATCCTCTGTATGTATAGTGTGAACTATGACCCCACCACTCCTTCAGATTTTAAGGTACAAAGGTCATCGTATTTTTAGTTAAAATTACAGAGAAAAACAAAAACTGACACCTAGCTTGTAACATGACTTCAAAGTATGAAATAAACAAAATGATTATTATTGTTCATAGCTGGAGGGGAATTATTAGTTGATTTTAAATGTTTTACACTCATTATTAACATTTTACAGTAAATCCGACATACTTTTTTTTTTTGATTATTTTTTTTTTTTAATAAAAATTCAACATACTTTAGTTGCAGACAAAATTATACAGTCATACATACTATACAGAATTAATAATTCAAATTCTTATGAATTTTCCTACCCAAATTATTTTTATGTAATTTACTTATATATATATATTTTTTATTTTGGACTTATCACAAATAAAAACCAAAACATATTACTACATTCAGCTTTGGTCTAAATTTAGAGCATTTGGTGCTCAATTTGAATTTATCTTCAAAAACCCAGTTATAGTGAACATTCCAGCTTACGTTCACATATTCAGACTAAATATCAGATAAAAGAAAATGAATTTATTTTTCATACTGAACGAAGCGGTAAAACATAAAAAGTCTTGAATGAATTGATATACCATTTTGTCCACGTTAACATCAATTGCTTCATTCGTTTCATTTTGTTTCTACCACAGTCTAAAACTGTTCATGGAACAGTCTTCTTGATACTGGTATAGTTATAAACTATCATTGCTATGGAATACATTTGATAAAAAATTAGCTGTTTAACCACAACCAAACTAAATTTTCAAATTATCAAGACGTTTGTAATGGCAACATCTATGAAACGGACTCAGGCACATCAAAAATATATATTTTTTTTGAGAGTTTTACAAGACCTTTCGTAGCTTAATCTCCCATGAAAATAGTAAGATGAAAAATACACGACTATTCACCTATATCTCAGCTTTCTGAAAATATATATATTGTCATAGTTACATCCTTAGTAACTAGTGAAGAATGCCCTAATTGCAATTAAACTAATACTCATTTTTCCCCGCTACTTTAAGAGGGATTAAACAGAAATTATCAAAATCCCTTTTTCATGCCATGTGTATAAAATTTACACAACATGATGACAATAGACAGCCCAGGAATATTGGCACCAAAATATTGCATGATACATTAATAATCAAATAATACTATCAAAATAGTTTTCTTTCCATTAATAACTACATTTCCCTTACCTTTAGGGTCAGCTATCGGTAAACTATAAATTGGACTAATACTGGAATAAGCCACAGCATCATAGTTCATATTTGAAGTGTGCAAAGTAAACATGATTGATAACATCTCATATTCATTTTAAAAATAGGGAATTTATAAATATAATTATTAATTCATTAATTAAACATTGTATAATAATTTTCTCTGATTTTTTACCCAAGAATCGAAAGAAAAATACTTCAGTGCCACAAATAATTATTTATCTTATGCTAATTTGCATAATAATTAGTGACAACCCTGTTTGTTGTAGTTATATTTCAAGATTCACTGTTTAAGAAATTATTGCATGTTAAAAATACTATGCAAGTACAGTAAACTGATTTCATTTGATATCTCCCGACTTGCATGATTCAATTTGGTCAAAACACAACTTGACCTCACAGCAGAAATATTTATGCCATTTTGATGTATAGTGACCTCTATGACCTCTGACCCCCAATATTTTAAAGATTTTATTTGGAAACAATCAGAAGATAGAATAGACAACTTTGTGACTATGTTAGGATACCATCATTTTCCTCTCAAATTGCTAG